CCCCACTCACCATCATGGATAGCACTGTAACGACAGTGGAGTTATTCAGGTTCCTGGGCACCATCATCTCTCAGGACCTGAAGTGGGACACTCACATTGACTCCACTGTTAAAAAGGCCCAGCAAAGGTTGTACTTCCTTCGCCAGCTGAGGAAATTCAACCTGCCACAGGAGCTGCTGAAAGAGTTCTACTCTGCCATCATTGAGTCCGTCCTGTGCACTTCAATAACTGTCTGGTTTGGTTCAGCTACAAAATCAGACATCAGAAGACTACAGAGAACGGTTCCGACTGCTAAAAGGATTATTGGTGCTCCCCTGCCTACCCTCCAAGAACTGTATACATCCAGAGTGAGGAAAATGACTCAGAAAATCACTCTGGATCCCTCACATCCAAGCCATCTCCTTTTTGAACTTTTGCCATATGGTTGACATTACAGAGCACCGAATACCAGGACAGCCAGGCACAAGAACAGTTTCTTTCCCCAGGCAATCTACCTCATGAACAGTTAATGTTCTCCCATTGTGCAATAAAAGTATGTGCAATAAGCTTATACTTATTTATCACCCTGAATCCTAGGACATCCCTACAACTTATTTTTTATTTAATTGTATTCTATTCCTGCTCTATAGCACACCTGTACATACAATTTATTCTTTTTTTTTGGTTTATTTATATTTATGCATGTGTATTTTATTCACATCTTATTTTTATTATCTGTGTGTTGTTTTTGCCTCTGTGTACTGGAAGCTTGTGACACTAAAACAAATTCCTTGTACGTTCAAACATACTTGGCAATAAAGCTCTTTCTGACTTATATCTTTCACTTGGATGTTATAAGTTGCACTGTGTAAATACAGCTGGATAAAACAAAAACTGTGTACATCTTCATTTCAGGCTGCAAAACGCGATTATTTTAAAGGGGGTGATTATTTTCTACACCCACTGTAAAATTTTTTTACAGTGGGTGTAGGACATTTTAATAGAGTACATTTACATATTTAAGTCAGGATGTTTAATTGCATGGATCAGAGAGGTGGTGTATAATTGTATAAAATGGCCAAAAAGCAAAATTACAATTGTTTTTGGTGCAAGAAACCTTGACTAACATTATAACTAGACTTCAGGGGGGAAATAAAATGCTACAATAGCACAGGCAATGACCCCTTTAATTTGACATTAGATAATTAGGGGTTACAGAAAAACAATGGAAAGCAACAAAAATAAATCAATAAAACACAGACATCTTGTATGATTATTATAGTGGATATTAGTTCCAGGTGTTGAGTTCATATTCTTTTAAGAAATTCCCTTCTGTCAACCAGTTCTTTGAAACCATGGTAACAAAACAAAAAAATGTTGGGAAACGTTACTGTAGGTTTGTGTATGCGAGTGTGTTAGTGCTTCATTTGTTGTTCTGATTTGAAAAAAAAAAAGTTTTCTCAAACTCTGAACTCTTGGTATCAGTGAACAGTGTTCACGTGTGTACGTGTCTAAGTGAGTGACATCACTGACCCAAGACTGGAAGTGATGGGAACGTCAGAGTCTGAGCACAATAGAAGGAAAGAGGACATAATTTATCTCAGAAAAGAAAGGGGGGAGAGGAAGAGAGAGAGGTGAATTTTGAAGACTAAAAACCATTTGCTTTGTTGTTGAAGCGAAGCAGAAAAGCTTTGTTCTTCTCTAAAAGTAGGCCTACACAAGAAGCTCATTTAGACCTGAAGCACTAAAATTTTATTTCATACACCACACAAAAATGTCTTTGGGACTTTTTATTCCTCTTTTTAGCCACTCCTTTTCTCCCCCTCTTTCCCTCTTTAACAAGGTCCTGGTGTGGACTGGGAGAGGTGCTGAAGGGTTGGGCTGGGTAAGGTCAGTCCGCTGGCTCAAACTCTTCAGAGTCACAGAAATCTCTTTACAGACCTGCTGTTTTCTCTAAACTACCATCAGTCAGAGCGAAATGATGGGGGGATGGGTTTCTCTCATCCTTCTACCCAACACAAAATACATGCTGCTGGGCTTCCTCTCTGCTCTTTACCCGCTCCCTCCCTCATTCCTCCTGGTGAGATCACTGGAGCTCCCGGGTGCCATTCTGAATCTTTATCCCCATAGCAAGATCTTAGACTTTAAAGTTCAGGGCAGGCTTTTTTCCCCTCAGGTCTACACTGACACAATATGCCTCCATGACATCTAAATTACACAGACCATTTTTGAAGTCTCCAGTTCCATTACTACATGATATTTAGGGGGCATGTTATTTATTGGACAGTGGAGACAGATAGGAAGGGGAAGAGAGAGGTGGAAGGGGATCAGGCTGCACAGATGACACAAACCTGGGTCCTAACAGGTTGTTTTTGTCACAAACACATGTGACCCACTGCACCACAGCTCAGATGGGAGCTGCAACCTTTATTTGATTAGGTCAGAAATCTGTCTACATCATAAAACTTTCCTATGCAGAACATTGTCATTTTTTTAAGGCAGCAATGATCAGTGGCGCCCCTACTGGCGCTCCAACCGCCAAGCCCATGTTGACTGTTCATGCTTAACACAGAATTATAATTTAGTTTAAGCCAAGGTCACATATTATCAAACATGGACTTAAATATTTTACATCAAAATTCAACATTAACGAAGATTTGTTTATTGAGGATTTCCTTCTCCGACTCCGCCTAAACTTTTCTTGCTTATGCGCACTTTAGCGTGCCACTTCAGTAATACAGTGTTTGTGTGAAGATCACTTTGAATTTAAAATGGACAAATTTCACAAGTAAGCATACCAAATATCTCACCATGCTTTATTTCTCTTGTAAAAGACATGAATCTTGTAGCTTAAGGCTCCGCAGGCCATCCCAAAGTGGTTAACTCTGTAACTTTACGAATAGGTTCCATAATCAGCTTTATTTTTAACTGTATTAGAAATAATCGTTCCCCATTCACTCTTTAATGATTTCACCCATAAACATGCAGCTGACTAAAAATTACAATTGCAGGTTTTTTTTCCATTGTATATTGTATATTTTAGGATCCTAGACTTTTAGGATCTGGCCACCCCATTAAAAATTTCTTGGAGGCACCACTGGTAATGATTCAAAAGTAAATGGAATTTCACACTATGAATCATGTCAAAGACACCCTGCAGTAACTGTAATAAGATTAGTGACATGGCAGTCGCTTCTGCACTTCTGTACAGATTTCTTCAGGGTTTCTGCATGATTTTTAAGCTAAAATTTAAGACCTTTTTAAGACCTGCACAAATAAAATTAATACCATATGAGCGGGGTAGGGCAATGTCTATAGTACCATATTAAACTGTAAAATTACTGTAAAAAGCATAACTTACAGTTTAGATACAAGTTTTCACAAAAACAAAAAGTTTTATAAAATGATAAACTTTACATTTCAGCCTTTAAACCATTTTTAAGAAATGAATTTAAGATTCTTAAATAATAATTTTAATTTAAGAAAGAATTAATTATTATATTAATTAAAATAATTATTATCAAGAAATTATTATTTCAATTAAATAACAAATTAGGGGTGTTTTTGTGTTTATTGACAAAAAATGATATCTCGATAATTTTCTGGGATTTTATCGATAACGATAATTAGACCATATTTTGCTGAGTGTGTTACTGTGCTGATATCTTAAGGACTACCGTGGACAGCTGACTCCTGAATTTTTTGATATTCTTCATATTCTGTGTGGTCAGTTCACAGCAGTGATAGAAATTAATTATTTCCAACAAGTTTTATGGGCATTTTTATCTTTAAGCCGTTTTTTCTAAAAGTGTGCACCATCTTCAAAGTCAAATTCTTGCATTTGGGCTGTTACCAAGCAAATTAAATCAGTATCAACAAAATTGATCTTTGCAATGCAGAGGAAACACAGAAGCTGCATTAGAAGTGTGATATTAACTACATGAAATGATATCAAAATATACGTTTTCTGCCTCATATCTTGAATTATGTAATTCTAAATGCATTTTAAATGGAGAAATAGATCAAAAACAGGGAATATGGTGTCTAAAACGTAAGTCTCTTAATATTAACTTCTTGTTTATTGAACTGTTGTATAAAATCAATATAATTTGTAATCATGCTGACTTTTGGAGAAAAAAAACGGCACTCTTCGTGTGATATTAACTACATGAAATGATATCAAAATATACGTTTTCTGCCTCATATCTTGAATTATGTAATTCTAAATGCATTTTAATAGACTGATTCATGCAGTGAAAGAAC